AGGTTGGACAGGGCTCTGAGCAACCTGATCTAGTTAGCGGTGTCCCTGCTCGCTGCGGGGGGGTTGGACTAGATGACCTCTAGGGGTCCCTTCCAACCCAAAACTTTCTATGATTCTATGATTCTATAAGAGGAGAAGGCTGAGAGGGGACCTTCTAAATGCTTATAAATATCTTAAGGGAGGGTGTCAGGAGGATGGGGCCAGGCTCTTCTCAGTGGTGCCCAGCGACCGGACACGGGGCAATGGGCACAAACCGAAGCAGAGGAAGTTTCACCTGAACATGAGGAAGAACTTCTTCACTTTGAGGGTAACAGAGCACTGGAACAGATTGCACAGAGAGGTTGTGGAGTCTCTTTCTCTGGAGATATTCAAGACCCACGTGGACAAGGTCCTGTGCAGCCTGCTATAGGTGACCCTGCTTCGGCAGGAGGGTTGGACTAGATGACCCACAGAGGTCCCTTCCAACCCCTACCATTCTGTGATTCTGTGAATCTAGACACATGTAGACAACTCTAGCTAAGAGTCACAGAGTCTTATAGAGCTGGATGTCATTGGGGATGATTTTCATATGTCACATGCACTCAACTTCCTCTGAATTCCCTGAGTCTTGAATGAACTCAGCATCTCAAACTGAATGACACCATTCATGAGGGCTTAGCTCAGGAAAGGCTGAAGGAAACACCAAAACCCATCTCAGTGCCTACTGAGACTGAACTAAGAGCAGCAACACGAGTGACTCCCCCTCTCCCATTTCCAAAATTGGAGGAAGGGGAGGTACTTGCTGTTCTGTGCAGTAATTTGGGGGTAATTATAGATCATATTTCAGGGCAAAAACAATAGTTCTTGGAATAAAACAAGGTGTTTTTTTTTCTCCTGAGGTACTGCATGGTTGGGTAGATACTGACATATCAGTAATTACTGAATTCCTTTTGCAATTTTTGGTTTGCGCCAGCATGGCAAATTATATCCAATTGTGTGGCTCTCCCACCACTTCCATCATTGTCAAAAAAACCCTCCAAAACTCTGTCAAAGTCACTGGAATGACATTGGCAGAAACTCAGTGAGAGGGGCCTTCATCCTCTGACGTTTAATTTTCTGCAGCATGCAATTCCAGTCAGTTCCCAGGAATCCTCAAGACTCCAGCCACATGCCCAGTTTGAAAGACTGTCCAGGAAATGCTGGAATGTTGTGGGGACAGCGTCTAACCAAGTGCCATCTGTTGGCCATTTGCCATACTGCCTCAGAGGACGCACGGATTTTCTTGAGTGCCTGAACCAAGCAGAGATGATATGGCCTAAAAGTATCTTTAGATGCAAACCTGCAGGTTAGTGCCTCATTCAGGCAGGAGAACTCCATAACAGAAGCATTTCCCTAGGTCCAGTCTCTTCAGACACCCAGTGTAGTTTACCTTTACTTTCTTAGGACCTCGGAGAAGATGTAAGAATTTTGATTAATGATTCAGCACATGACTAGACATACAAAAACCTGTTACTGCGATTTGTGAAGCACACTCTTGCTTTCTGTTGAAGGGTAAATTGGTTAACCACCACTAGGAAAACAAATGTCCTAAGCATAGTGACCCCTACTCGGGTTTACCCACTCCAGCCCTTTGAGGTGGAATAACTTGAGTTAGAAGCAGCAGATAAATATTACTTTGGTCCTGCATCGCTGGGGTCCTGAAACAGGAAGCTAATGTCTCAGCCCCTCTGTACGCTCAGATTGATTCTCTGTCTTGTGGTCACAGAAGCCCAGCAGGTTATCTCATAATATCTTGAATCAGCTTGTGTCTAGGAGATCAGTTTTGGGTGTAGTACTGGGTACCATGTAACGGTCGTGTGGGTTTGTGCTACTCCTTTAGAGAGATGGGCCTGTTATTGCTTCAGCCTGTCTTGGATGTCAGTGGGAGACATAAAGGACCAGATATTCAAAATGGATTGGGAGCAATATATACCAAACCTTTCTAATGTCCTACAGAATTTCTGTATCATACTGGCAGGTTGTCTAAGTCGTTGGCAAAGTTTACTGAAAATGTCCTTCAAGCGAGCCCACTATCCCATGACATATTCACCTAGGGTCCTCACAGAAGATAAAGGCTTCCTGATTGCACTGGGGGCTATAGGTTTCTCATATGCCAAAGAGTTCATGTCCATGCCACTGCAGCAGTATGAATTTTCCGAATTTTTTCCATGGAGGTAGGCTGGTGGTTCTGCAGGTGGCGTCTTCACCCCCAGCTTCTTCTTAACTATAGCCCTGTGCACTGGTGTACAAGCTGGTCTGGGAGACACTGTGTCTCAGAAAGACTATAAATCTGAGACTCAGCCTGCATGACCTCAGGGTTATTAAAGAGTTTCTGGCACTTGCTTGGTATAGAAGATATTTTAGCTGGGGTGATTTAATCACATTTTAAACACAGATTGTTACTGTCTCCTTAAGTTTCCCTTTCAGACAGAGAGATCTCTTTCTTTCTTAAACTGCAGAGAATACCTATAAATAGCCGTTTCATTGCTTCACTGGGATGCTTGTATTTAGATGATGAATGAGGACACTACAGTATTGTTTCTGTACCATCTGTGAAATCTACACAGCTCTTCTAGAGCCATTTGACTTGAGTGCTTCACATCGCTTTATTCCAGTGTCGACCATCGATGTACTACTAATGTCCATTTGTTAAAAATCAGGTTCAAAACATAAACACATTGCTTTGCAGAATGTGTTGTGAATTATTTTGATGTAATGTGGGTGTGCATCCTGTTGCAAAACAACATTGCTATTTGCAAAGTTCTACCTTAACCCTACTGTATGAGAGTTAAGACCATATGCCATATCATAGCTACCTAATACATACATGAGATATTTCTGGCAGAGAAAAGGCCATCTGACTCAGTATGCTAACCTGGACTGTTAACCCAGTCCAACCTCACTTTTTTGTTTCCTTCCTTATTTTTTGAGCAAGCCTCCTTCTTCTTCTCCCCCATAAAGAGAGATGGTTGTTTCATGAGCTCTTTTCTGCAGTTTGCTTCAGTTGCTTTCCATATGTTTACTATCTCGTCTTTTTTTGTCCTGCAGTAGCCTAGAGCATTTTCCTTACCAAAAACTTCATAGTTATTTTCCCAGGAAATATAGTTGTTGCAAAAAAGATGTTATAGGAGCAAAAAAACACGTTTCCAAAACACTGATGCCAAATAGCAAAATAAAAAAAGCTCATTATTTTTGATAGCAAGGATATTAAAAGGAAAAAAATGTATTGTTTAAAAACCCACAACTCTTCAATAGTAGTGCGGGAAGATATTAAATTAAATGGAATGTAGTTTTGCAGTGAGCCCATCTAATCTTGGGTTGAAACCATGGGTTGAATTAGGTTTTTTTTAATTTCTATTTTTTTCATCTGTATTTTGTACTCCATTCCCAGCATTGTGGTGATGTTTGTTACTATTTATATTTTATGTTGAGGGTCCTTTTTTCAGCTGTTTCTAAAACTTTACAAAAATGTCAGATGTCATATTGGAAACCCAAAGCCCCAAGTCAGGCCATAAATCACAACAAACCATAAGTATGAATGTGTATGTGTGTGTTTGTATGTGTATATATATATAAATCCATGGTACTCTTCTTTAGCGCTTCCCTTGTTGTCCTTCCTTTTCCTTCCCTTTACCACTCACAGCAGGTGAACAGAAGTGTCTTACCTGGCATATTTACTTTGCAGACTCAGAGCAGAGCACTGGGTCAGACAACGAGGTGCTGACAGAAAGGACGTCCTGCTCATTTGGCTCCCATTCTGACCTTACATCTGGTGGCTCAGGCCCTCAGCCTCCTCCACCTTCATCCATGGAAGAGATCCAGGTAGAGCTGCAGTGTGCTGACCTCTGGAAAAGATTTCATGACATTGGGACAGAGATGATCATCACGAAAGCAGGCAGGTAAGATATCTTTGGCTTTCTGTCTAGTTTAAAAACAGATCATAACAAAACAAAATAAAAAATATCTTTTTTTCACAGCTGTATTTCCTGCTAGCTTTCTTAAGACAGGTAAAGTAGTTTCATATTACTGCTTAAATCAGTGGCTCCAAAAGAGAACTGTCAGCTGAAGGAAACTGTTGAGCATAGTCTTTTCTTTGGGCAAGTAAATCAGGAAATGAGCATTGTACTGTTGGCTGTACTGAATTTAAGATGAGTTATGAATTTGGGGGTGAGACATTTGAGTTGCCTCTTAAGTTCCCATAGCACTTCATGAGCTAGTTGATTTAATCTAAAATATAGTGAAATTCAAACTCACCTTTGCACCAAATGAATGTCTTCCTGCAATTCTGAATAGATACAGTGTTAATGACTTCCTATATCAAAAATGTGCAGGCTTAATGTTTCTCTGTGCTATTGCAAGTAATACCATATTAGTTGAGGTTAGGAAGAGCCACTAATAAGCCAGATTTTTTTAAAAGAAAAACTGACCCTGTCATCCCATTGGCCAAGGGTGAGATCTTCATTGCTGTCTACAATTAAAAAATGGACAAAAATCAGTTTGCCAAAACACAACTTGAAGCTAGCTGTAGATTTCTAGATCTCTCAAACTGTAAAAGATCCCGGATTTTTAGCCTTGTTTGCATTAACGTAATGTTCCCTGCTTCCGCCCGATAACGTTTCAATTCCAACTAATGCTGTGAAGAAGGAAGTCAGCACCACGGACAGAGCCCGTGAACGCGAACAAACCACGTGACTGTCCCAGGAGCTGTTCTACCCCTTCTGCAGACAAGCAGGAGGGAATTTTTCCCAAGTTTTTTTGGAAAAAACAATGTGTTCTACTGTTTATAATCTTGTTTCATGTCTGTGCTCTCAGAATTTGCCAGAACAGCTAGACTTGTTGTTTCGTGTTCTAATGAAGTGATCACTGTTGCTCTGTAGCCCCAGAAAGTCCAGATAACTTGAGGAAAGTTGTATCAGATGAAGAACCCAGATCATCACTGAAGAAGATTATCAGAACCAGATTGGGTCCTGGTTTTAGATATATGAACTCACTGGCACATGAAGCATTTTGTATCAGCACAGAGTGCGCTGCTGGTTTTGCCCTTCTGCTTCAAATGGAAGAGGCAAAGTAACTGAAATTATAACACTTGCTGTCACGCAATACCTTTTCTCAAAAAAGCCAAAGCAGATGTCAAAGCAGCCACAGAGAAAATTGTAATTAGTCTCTTTTCATAGGGTGGAAACGGAGACCTAAACAGATTAAGTGATCTGTTCAGCATCATTAAATAAGACACTGGAAGAACAAAGTTTCTCACTTCTGACTTTGTTGCCCTGATGCCTGGGCCATGGTGTCTCAGAAAATTAAAATAATATATTGTTACCTGTTCGATTAACTATAATTAATTCTCTCATGATACATGGAGTAGATAGACTTAACAGCAGCATAAATGTCTTGAAGTCCACCAACACCAGTGAGCACTAAAATGCCCAGAGCTTAGCTCACACAGTTCTGAATGAAGTAGCTGACCTTTCTGGGATCTTAAAAAGCCATACTCTGGCTATAGTTTTATTTAAAAAAAAAGTCACCAAGAAGTTGCAACATCAAAACCACTGCAATTTTGCAAATTGTTCAACACAACTTCTCAGAGAAGCCTTGAGAGCAGTTGCAGAGGTCCTGGAGAAGGACAGCTTCATGGAAAAAACCACAGTGAAACATTCTGGGGAGATATAACGAAATGAAATACTTTGGTTCAGTTCAAAAAATGAAAAATTTCTATTTGGTCACACTGATGCACACACACACAAAAAGAATCTGTAATTCCTTGGAAGTTTGTAGGAAATTACAATATTGATTACAAATTTTTTTTGAAATTTTTCATCTGCTGTCTTCAAGCTACAAACTCTTATTTGTTGCTTGGAGCTTTCTCAAGTATATATTTTGGCACTTTTGATACAAAACTTTTTCTCACATTTATGAATCAAAAAGTTTCATGTCAGCAGTGGTTCATGGAACTTGCCATTCGTGTTGCCTTTCTGACAAATATGTCTTCCCACATTGCATATGATCATAACAAGCAATCGATACCTATCCCTAATTACACAGTAATAACAGGAAGCTAATCAAGAATTACTGTGAGATGTACATTGTTTCTTCCATGTGGGAACATGACGCGACTGAACTAAAATTCCAGTGAAGAACCATGCCAGGAAAAATGATCCAGATTTAGTGAAGAAGTATCTCAAAACAAAACATTCAGATTCACTTCTCCCTCCTGATTTTTTCTCTTTGCTTTGACCTGGCTCCAAATTAAAAAAAAAGAAATAAAATTGTTTTGCTTTTCTTAGATTTTGGCTCAAAGATTTTGATTTTCATGTTTTGAAGGACAGGTCTCCATGCTCTGGGGTATTTTAAGGAGTCTAAAACTATATGTATTTTGATAATTTTTAGTAGAGAATAGAGGTAGAGAAACCTGTACGGACTGTAAAGAATATTTCTATTTGCAAGATTTTTTTCTGTAACAGCAGTAACAGCATTCTCAAGTGCCTTTGCAAGCTCCAGTCTTCATTATTTTTCCACTTCCGAAATACCATGTGTCACCATACAGAGTCATAACTTGCTGTACAAATCATATATTCTTTACAATCCTGAATAACTTACTTTCTTCCTGAAACGAGATGCTTATCATTACTTCAGTCCCGATGGCCAACTGGCTCATCACTGGCTGCCCATGCAAAATCTATATAGTTACTAAATAAAATTATTTTTTCTGCTTGATGATGTTCTTCTCCAGATGTGATGTTAACAAGATTGGAGGGGATTTTTTTTCTGATGCCTACATTTGTAGGTTAACCATTGCAAAGCATGATGAGGAGTGGGGCAATTTCTTTAGGGAGTACATCTGTTTATTAGGGTTGGTCCTTAGAGATATGATAAAATTCACAAATTAAATGTTTAACCTCTCAGGTGAAACATTTTTCTTTCAGAGAGGATGTGTCTGTGATGGGTGAGAGCTGAGTCTAGCAGTCCTGTTTCTCCTTACGGCATGCGTGATACATGATGCATCCCATAGATTAGATCGTATGATCTCTGGCAAAAGTAGCAGAACTGGTGTTATTTCCTGAGAGTTCCCTACTACTTATTGAAATCGTGACAGATGCACAGTGTCATTTGCAACGTCTTGCTTGCCCAGGGAAGATTTTGCTCTACTTGTTGCTTTCTCTTTGGAAACCCTGTTTGAGTTCTGCAAGGTCTTCTTGTTTTGAAAGCCCTTATAATTACAGACTCAGCTGCCTATAACTACAGCTGCTCCTTAATTTTCTGTGATTCGCAAGGCACTGCTTGGTTCCTGCCTGACCCCACAATGTCTTTCTGCTCTTACTGTGTAATGCTAGTTTCTAACCTAAGTTCTCATTTTAAACATATTTCTGGAGCTATATCCTGCCTACGACAGGCCTACTACGCTTTTCAACTTTCAGACTCCCACTCACATTTAATTCTGCTTCGTTTTTCATTTTCTTGATGCCATATTTATAGATGTCTTTTTTTGTCTGTTTTCATAAACATACCTCAGTCCTTGTAGAGGTTTTCCTTTCTTCCTTTCCATCAGAACATTGTTATTCAGAATTTAACAAGATGCTTATAACAAGACTCTTGTGTTCTTTCTCTAAAAGATGCAAAAGGCTTTCTGTCAGCTGCATTGCATTCAAATCTGCAATTGGCTTTATGTCCTTTTTGTTGGAAAGGTAACTTTAGACTCTGTACAAAATAAAATAAATTCATTCTAAGGCCCAGGTTATGCTGATTTAAGCAATTAGCCCTAAAAACATATTTAATTCTTTTTCTCTACTCTCCGTTACCAATGCTGATCATGCATGTACCACAGCAACATTATCAGAGGAATTTGGGATTCTTCCCCACACCCCTATAGTCGATAGCTAAAGACCATGGTCACGTGAGCTGCAGGGGTAACTGTTCGTTAACCGCTGTGTGGAAGTGCTGCCCAAAAGGGAAAGCAATGTGCACTGCTTACTGGAGTGGGGGGACATGACATTGACACTGTAAAGAGTGCTTGGAGCCCTGATCTGGAAGGGAAGCACTGCCTACTCTTTATGGACGTGGCTATATGAGTGTGACCACGCACACAAGCATAGCCAGGAGGTATTCCTCTGGGGACCCAGGTTCTGCCTGTCACAGACCCAGCATTTCTTCTCAACAATGAGGGAAATGATCTAATCTGTCATATCGTAGATATCATATCTGTGCTGCAGGATGGCTTAATCCTGGGTGTTGAGACAGTGCTCAGCAATAAGAGTGGAAAAAACAGCAGTGAGTGGAACAGGTGACCTTGTTCTCTCTGTGCCTCCCGATAGGTTAAATTGCATTTTGTCTGGAGTTTCTTTGCCCCTTTGAAATCATGAGTCTGAGTCATTTTAAATGTGTACTTAGGGCTGTTTATATCACCCTTTTTTCCTTTTTTTTTGAATTTCCAGTGGATGGAAGGAAGGGCCCCACAATGCTCTTCAGTTAGAGACAGCAGCCGGGATTTTGTTGCGAATCTCTGTTGATGCCGAAGGGGCACATGGAGAGGACTTCGCAGAGGGAGGACCAGCAGGCTACAGTTACTAAGCTGCTGCCCAGGGGCCCTGGCCCAGTGGGCCTGATAAGCTTTCTCCAGCTTCCATAAAAATGTCCCCTTTGGGAGCTACTGAGAAAATCTGCTGGGCTCCCTCATAAACAATAAATCCTTTTTTCTCCCAGACCTTGCCCTCAGCCTTTTCTCTCAACACAAACATCTCGTCGACATGATCCTATGCTGCAGAGGGAAACAGAAAGGCATTCCTCCCTTGCCTTGCCTTGCCTTGCCTTGCCTTGCCTTGCCTTGCCTTGCCTTGCCTTGCCTTGCCTTGCCTTCCCTTCCCTTCCCTTCCCTTCCCTTCCCTTCCCCCTCACTTTCATTCCTCACAGGTTTGTTTTTACAAAGAAATACACTGTTGGCACTGGTCTTACATGAAAGGAAAGATGAGGTATAAAATAGCAATGGTAACTTCAGGCTGCCCTGTAAACTCATGCATATTGTAAACACTGTGCACACTTAATCTGAATATCTAAATCAGAGTATTTTGCACAGTTTCTCAATCAGATTTTTTTATGACTGGGAAATGACTACTCTGTCTGTTACTGTCAATAGACAAATTGTATTTTTCTACAGTTGAAGAGCACATCCCTTCATTTTAGGATTTGCATTCAGCACATGTTGCTCTTAAGGAAATTTAATCTTATTTAAGTTGTTGTCTACATAGTATACAAATCACTACACAAAACAGTCATGAAAACCATCCAGGAAATTGTGTCAGTCCTTATAAACCCTCATCTGACTTCTGTCCACTAAGCTGTCTGTACAGGAGTATTTCCAGTGTCTGAAGAGCTTAAAGGAATTGCATTTGTATTTTGAGACAACCTGCCAGGTGTCTTTTAAGATCTTATCCCCTAATGGGGAATCGCCCTCTCTAAAGCTATGAAACTAAAACTGTTAAACAGAGAATGAATTTATTTTGGAAGGGATCTTTGGATGTTCTCTGGCCCATACCTCCACTCAGAGCAGGCTGATTTTGAAGACAGATCCAACCTGAGACAAGCTTCACATGTGCTGGTTCAAGGGGCAGGGGTACGAGTTGGCACCTTGAGACTCTTAAGGGTTAGAAACCGAAGATCTATACTCTGTGGAGAAAAAAAAAATCTGGTTTGGGGATAGACCTGTGATCGTCCTTCTTTGAACGGTTTTCACAAAGGAAAATTGAACTATATTTCTGAGTTAAATAAAACTTTTAAACAATAACAACAAAATAGCTGGTTGCCACAATTCAACTATTTCTTTCTATGGCTGAAAGTTTCCAGATGTGGTCCTTAATATCAGAACACCACTGTGCTGGCAAATTCTGTTTTAAAGAAGTTCTAGAGATCTTTAGATATCATTAATTTTCTTCACATTCAGAGTTTCATAAACCTCATTCGTGTTATGGAAGGCAACAGGAATTGAATAGACTGAGGCACATGACTGTTACAAAAATGCTTTGTAAAACACTTTTAAGTGGTCCTAAAATAATTGTAGTAACTTCATATCACATCATATTTCCCCTAAAAGGGTACTGTGTGTAAGTTTACATTCTAATTTTAGAAAGCCTGTTTCCCTGCTGAGTGGTAAAGCTAACATAAAAATAACTTCATCATCCCAAACTGCTGTTGATGTAAAACCTCCACCTAAACTATATCAGATGTCATCACGTGCTCCCCATGAAAACAGACAGCCTTCGTGTCTGTAGCTGCTGACTACTAAGATAGCTGATACCTTTCTAGATTGAAGCCTCTTGACTGTTTATTAACACAGCCATGTTCAAATGGCCTGAGTTCCTTCCAAACTTCGAGCCCCCAGTTTTCCACAGAGTTAGTGCCTCTGGGGGTGCCAAGAGCCAGCCAAGAGGAAACACAGAGCACAGGGATTTAACCAGGATTACACCTGAACACCTCCTTAAGTTGCTACTGTTTGACTCTGCCTTTCCATTTTTCCCTTTCCACGCAGCAGTGCTGCTGGAGACCTGCTGTGACAGTTCCAGGCCACATCCTTATGGCAAAGAAACCTGAGTTACTTTTACACCCACAGAAAAAGAAAAACAGTAATCATTTACAAATCTTTAAAAGTACACTTAAATCTTAGAGAAAGCAGTGGGATCAGCTGTGCTCTCTCTGACCATTTTAGAGATTAGCCTCTAAGCCTGTTGAATGGTCTGCGGTAATCTTTTACAAGGTATTTCATAAGCAAACAACCCCACAGGCTATACTGCAACTTCACATGGGGCTGCAGATTTGGAGAGAGCTTCTTGGAACACAGTGTTCAGTTTTACCAATACAATGAACAGACTTAGACCCAAAGAGACTCAGATTTAATCCTGGGTTTCTCATCAACCTTCTGAAACATGACCTACCTCTTAAGCTGCTCCCAAGCCACCTCCCTCCAATTAAGGAAAGCTGGATTGTAAAATGCCACATCCTGTACCCATTTGTCTTGGCAGATTTAATGAGCCATTGTGGTAGAAACAAGGTAATGCCCTCAAGCCACTGAAGATTAATCCATTATTCCTGTTCTTCCCCCCAAATCATTCAACTGGCAAACTCACACAATCCATTGCACAACTCTGCTCTCTCCTTGAAGGGTTTCTGCAGACAATTTTCCTGACAGTTTTATGTCTCTCATAACTCTGGTTAGCTGTGCTCTGGCAGCTGTGGGGTGGTGCTCTGCCTGCCCCCCACAATAAATGCCCTTTTCCAACGCAGATGCCATTACTAACGGGTCAGAACTTTCCTTCTTGGTGGCCTGAAATGGAAGAGCAGCAAGTAGGTCGAAGGCTGAGCACCAGCCTCCTCCTTCCACTGTCTTCTGCA